GAAATCCAAAATCTCTGTAAATGCGCATTAAAATTATTAAAAAAAAATAAAGCTTAAAAAATTTTTTCAAAAACCATGCCTAGGACCCATCCCTAGAGATTCTGACTGATCTAGCATTAAGCACAAATTTTATGCTTTTCAGATGATTCTAATGTCCAGCCATGGTTGACAATCGTGGTTTAAATAACAAAATTACAACAAACAAGTCCTGTCTTAAGGATAACTAAGTTTTCTTTAACTACTAGGTATACGCTCCCTTTTTCTCATTTGTTCTGAATAATACTGTACTGACTCAAAAGGATATAATTCATCTCCTGAGGACAGGTGGAATTACTCTAGCTTCCTGCCTATGAAGGAAGAGTAGTCTCATTTTCAAGGGGCTTAGGGTGAGTTCTGAAGACAAAGTGGGAGATAATGACCTTGAGTCTAGATAACAATTTCCCAAAAGAGCACAAACACAAGTTCTGTGGCCTTAATATACTTATGCTCTAAACAAATACCCTTTAGCAATTTCTCATGCCTTTGCCTGTGACTTCCTTTTCTCAACAGATGGCTGAGGAATGTCAAATTCAGTCTAATGAAGGCAAAGTAACTTTTATGTGACACATACATATTTACTCTTCAATAAATAAAATGATCCTACAGCATTGTGCTTCTCTTAGATAGCTCTGGTGGTTTGTTGGTAAAAAAAATTGCACTGCAAACTCAAAGGCAAGAAGTACGAATTCACTAGCTGCTTTTAGGGGGGAAATATGGGCAATCTCCTCTTGAGCAATTTACTACCTTGGAAAAGGAGCTAGAGCACCAGCTGTGGGTCAGTTCCCACTCCACACTAAACCACAACCACTTCTGATTAGACAAATTATTAAATAGGAAAATAAAGCAGTATAGTTGCTTATGACATAATGCAGACCCAAGAAAATGTTTATATGCTTTGACTAAATAAATCTAGGACTCTTATCTTAGAGACAAGGTACCCTCATTTGGTGTTGCCAAGTGTGAATCCACTACAGCTCCACAAAAGAATGCTGACTACTATTCCCTCTAATTCAGAAATGACCAGATGGAAGGGATTTGAATTTGATCTTAAAGGAAATACTTTAAAGCATATTTTTAAAATACAGGCATATACAGAGACTAAAATTTATTCATAGTTATCAGGAGTAGAAGACAGGAAAGGAAAATAGATTTATATAAATGGCACTGAAATTATGTTAATAGATAAGGAAAAACTTGGAAATAGCAAAACGGTGATGACTCAGCAACATGATAAATATTTACATCAGGAAGAAATAGAAAATATGAATGTGCAACAAAAGTGGAATAACTGAGTAGTAATGACAAAAACAAAAAAACCCTCACAAGTAATAATATGGCCATCCAAACTGAAAAAAAATCCTGGTAGCATAGTGGTTAACGAATTAGTTTCTAAGCAAAAACTCAGATGCTCAAATCCATTAGCTGCTGCAAAAGAGAAGTGTGTGAGATGCAAAGACGTGTGTTTTACAGTGTATTTGAGTAAATCTATCTATCTGAAATGTACCACTTTCCCACGGAATTGAAATGAACTCATAGCTGACCCTCCACTTGTTTTATTTTTTAAATTCTTAAGTGTTTATTTGAAAATAAATTCTAGATAGATTAAATATGTAAATAAAAACATTAAATATATAAAAAAACCCTTATGAGGTGTTTCTATGGTACTATGATGAGTCAGAATATGACTCAAGGGCAAAAGGTTGGTTCTTTGATTTACTCAAATACATTACAAAACAGCAAACATATTAACTAATGCTTACTGCTTAAGATCAAAGAATATAGCCTTCAATATGGATTGCATCTCAACATCAAGATGACAACACCCCTCACTACTGGACCATCATGACAGAGAGAAAAGACTGAAATTGTCAACGATAACATCTTTCTTGGATCCACAATTAAAATCTTTGATAACCGCAGCAGTCAGGAGATCAGGAGACACACAGCATTGGGCAAGTCTGCTATCAGGGACCTCTCCAATGTACTGCAAAGCTAAGATTTTAGTTTGAAGACTAAAGTGTATCTGATTCAGGCTATGATCTTTTCAGTCACTTGCTATGAGTCTGAGAGCTGGGCAATGAATAAGGACTTATGCCTCTGTGTTGTGGTGAAGAATACTGAGTATTACACAAACTGCCAAAAGAACAAACAGATATAGTTTGGGAAAAAAAGCAGCCAGAGAGCTCCTTAGAGGCAAGGATAGTGAAGCTTTCTCTCATATACTCTGAGCATATTGCTAGGAGAGGCAATTCCTTGAAAAGGAACATCATACTAGGAAGGACAGAGAGTCAGAGAAATAGGGGAAGGCCCTCAACAAGTTAGACTGACACAGTAACTGCCGCAGCCGGCCCAAGTGTATCAGAGATAATGAGAATGGCACAGAATAGGTTCAGATCTGTTCCTCACAGGGTTGCAATGAGTTGTACTCAACTCAATAGGACCTAATAACAATAACATGGTTCCTAGGCAATAATATTGTTATCTATAGTTAAGTAAACAGAATTAAGATTAAAAAAATGTGTAGAGTATTAAGATAGCTGTATTAAAAAACCTGAACCTCCCTACCTCCTAAAAATTAAAAAAAGCAAGGGTGCAACAAATGAATGAATGGAATTCCAAAATCTCTGTAGATGTTCATTGAAATGAAAAAGAAATTTAAAAAAAATAAATTAAAAAAGCAGCTCAGCGCGTAGAGCCATAGGGAGCTGCACTAACCCAAAGATTAAAACTCTGAAGTTTAATTCAGGGACTCCAACCTGGGGATTTACAGCCTCCTGAAAAATCCCCTGGAGGGTCTAAGAAACAGCTCCAACTAGAAAGCAATAGTTTGTGTTGGTTCTTTTTGTAAGCCATAATAAAAAGAAAAGGGGTAAACATATTAACAGCTTTAAAAATGTTTCCTATTTTTCTTTCTGTCATTTCCATAATGAATGAATTATTCATAAATTCTCTAAGTTGCAATGAAAACCCTAGTGCAGGTTTAACAGGTAAGTAAAGAAGGTGTGGTAAAAGCCAAGTAGGCAGAAAATAAGGGTCAGGGGGAAAAACTCCAAAACCTCTTAAGTCAATTCTCATAGATTTGTTATTTGCAAATTTGCCTATTTATCACAAACACTTTAACCTCAAAATCAATGCTTTTGATTTTCATTTTAAAATATTTGCTTTCACAATCATTCAAGGCTATGTGCAAGGTGCTAAAATATGTGACTCACCTGCCATGCCTGGTTCCAACTGGGATTGAACCAGCCAATACTTCACCTTCCTGTTTCTAGTCCCATTTTATACATCATAAACATCATTTGCAAGGTCTATTCAGTGCCGTATTTTTGTGTTTTATTGACATTTTAACTGTTTAAAATGGTTCCCAAATGTTCCTCAGCACAAGAAGGCTGTGACATTTTGGTTCCAGCAATGAGTGTTAATAGTATGCATGGCTTAATGCATTTGTGTGTTCAGATGATGGTCAAAATGACCAATGTCTATATCCAACACTTAGTAAACTAGCTGTAATTCTTTAAACAGCCCTTCATCTTTGTAAAATCTCACAGATTTTGTGGCTATTTAGGCTAGAAACTAATGAGATTAATATAAACTTTCAAAGAGTATTTGTCTAATTAGATAACTTACTACCTACTCTTTAAAATGTGATAGAGTATACCAAAGAATTTTTCTTTTACTTTTCAAAGAGAGAAGTAAACTGGGGGGTGGGAGGGAGGAGGACTGGACAGGGAGAAAAGTGCAACAATGAATGAATGGAAATCCAAAATCTCTGTTAAGTGTTCATTAAAATAAAATAAAATTTTTAAAAAAATTCTATAGAGACGTTTATAGTCTCAAATACTGATACCTGAAGTCTAGGATTTTCAATTCCTTAGCTAGGGCTCTAATTGTAAAGGGAAAGAATTGAGTTACCATCTATTTCGAAGAATATGCTTGGATGCTTAAAAAAAAATTAAAAACAGTTTATAAAAATTGCGCTGCAATCCTGAAAGCACAGAGTTTGAATCCACCAGATGCTCCACTGGAGAAGGATGGGCATTCTCCTCCTGTGCCAGTTGGATCTAACTCAATGGCACACAACAGGAAGTGTGTAAAAAAAAAATAAAAAATAAAACAACAACTTATTAAAAAAAGTGCTGCTAAATAGCCAAAAAAACCTCAAACACATGTTCCTAAATAGCAAAAAATCAATTTAAAGCATACTAAAGACAGTTCTCTTATTCTCTGATTGAACAACCATGTGTATAAAGCTTTGTATTGGTATCAGGAACACAGAAGTGTATTAAGCCATACTACTACAACCCACTGCTGGAACCAACTCACAGCTGATCCCCTAGCATGTTTTTAGGAGACAAACTGCACGGGAGGAGACTGCCCATCTTTCTCCTACAGAGCAGGTGCATTCAAACTACCTGCTTTTCTGTTGGGTTCCTTATCCAATGGGCCACCAGAGCTCCTTTATTTAACTATGCTGTTGTTAAATGCTGTCAAACTGACTATGACTCATACTGACCCTGTGAACAGATGAACCTTGTCCTATCTGTAGCATCCTCATCATATCTGATATACTTGAGCCTACTGTTAATGTCACTGTATCAGTCCACCTTGTTGAGGGTCTTCCTCTCCTTGGGTGACTCTCCACCTTTCAAAGCATGATATCAAAGTCTATGAAGAAAAGGTGAGTCAATTTGTAGTGAATTAATAAAAAACCTTTCAAATAACTTCTCTGATATCACAAAAAGAAAACCATAATTCTGAAACTGTTCCATTAACTCCCAACCATCACATTCCTCTCAAATACCTTCTGCAGTCCAGGGAGGCAGCCACACTCTAGGTCTACTGAAAGCACACAGTGACTCGCAGAGTCAATCATGCAGAAGCTGTTTCTCTGCCTGAACACAGGGCCAAGCTTCCCTCTACCTAATCAATAATCATTCCCTCAGCTAACCTTGTAATACATATTCACATTTCACTAAAAGGTTTGTCACCAGTTCCTGTTCTGGTTAAAGTTAAATCTATAGCCAGAACACTTACTGCCTTCTTTGGCAAAACAAACACTGGATTCCTAATGGAGCCAGCTGTGCAGATAATGCCTTCCAGAGTTATATGAGTAAAAAAAAAACCAGAAAAATAGGGCTAGATAGATGTGGCAACAAAAGAAGGTTTTAAAGAACAAGAGATACAAAAACTTTCCAAGAGGGTCTAACTTCCCAAACTAATGAAGAGTGAAAAAGCGCAAGCTTTGTTACCAGAGCTTCCCTAGGGTTCATCTACAGGTTGTAAGTACCTAAGGGAAGAAGACAGTCTGTCAGGGGCCTTGGAGAATGTGAGGAAATGGGGCTGCCATCTTCAATGGTGCTGCTAGAGCAGAAAGTTTTTATTCATCTCTCTTCTCCAGAAGGAGCCTAATAAAGAGGAAAAGTGGAATATTTATGTAAAAAAATGTATCTCAAGTTGTGGTGTTATTAGGTGCTGTTAACATGTATATGAAACAAAGTCTCATCATGCTTGCCTCTAAAGAGCATCTCCTCATGTCTTTGAGCTGTGGTGTTGGAGAAGAGTATTGAATATACCATGGACTGCTAAGAAAACGAATAGGTTCATCCAGGAAAGGGTTAAACCAGGCTGCTCCTTAAAGGGAAAGATTCTGAAGATTTGTCTGACATACTTTTGACATGTTGCAAGGAGGGACCAGTCAGTCCTTAGAGAAGGATGTCATGCTTGGGTGGGTGGAGGAACAGCACAAGAGAGAAAGATCCGCTATGAGGTGGACTGATTCAGTGACTAGGATGGTGGAGGTGGGAGTGTCGGTGACAGTGAGATTGGCACAAGACAGAGAAGGGTCAGGGCTGTTGTACACAGGGTCACTATGTATGTGACTCAAACAGCACATTAACAACAACTCAAATTTTTCTTCTTCTTCTTCTTCTAGTAACAGACCTTACTGAAATCCCTAGGAGACATTCTCAAAGGAGGTATGTATATTCTCTTGCAGTAGGACAGATGTGACAACAAAAGAAAAGAAAGTAACAGATTATTAACATCTTAAAAATAATATTTTTAAAGGGAGATGGGACAACTATCTCCTACCTAGCCTAGGACAGCTGAGGGAGGCCTCCTCACCAGACCAGAGGCTTTCCTGTCTTCTTAGTCTGGAGGGACAATTCTAAGGAATATTTCCAGATCCAGTTTAAATTCTCCAAATGTTACAATTTACCTCCCCACCCAGCTACTAATAACTGAGTTACTCCCTTCTGTTAACATAGTATTACCTTGTATCAAAGATAATCTTTTCAAGGAATAGGAAGTAAAAGTTTAAATTTCAAGAACAAGTTATGGCTAACATTGAATAGAATGGGAATCCCAGAACACTTAATTGTGCTCATGCAAAATTTATACATACACCAAGCAGCAGTTGCCCAAATAAAACAAAGAAAAACTTTGGAGGTCAGAGAAGAGCTTCAAACAATTCGCATAATTTCTCCTTTTCTGAAGACAACTCTGCCTTTCTCTCCTAAAGGTGCAGAATACATAAAAGCTCCAACTCCAGAACCCAGTTATGGTCTCAGCACCTTCACTTGCTGAGACAGATTTGAGCAGCTCATACCCCCTTTTCTCCTTATATACTTACTGTTAGGAACCAATATTTGGAACTAGCTAGTAGCTGACCCCTCAGAAGGTCTTCAAAGGCAGTAAATCATACAGGTGGAAACTGTCCATCTTTCTCCCACAGAGCAGTTGGGAGATGAGAATCGTGTACCTTTGGGTTGGCAGCACAGCTCTTTACCACTAAGCCAGCAGAGCTCCCTAGTATATATACAATAAAACGGCTTTTTTTTTTGCACTATCCAAGTTTGTTTTTTTCCTGGAAGCAGGCCTGTGTTTTTTCCTCTACCACTCCCACTAGAAACTCCAGACATGAAAATTACAAAGGGAATGAACAAAGAGTATGGAGAGACCAGAACTGGAACTGGAATAGGCTCACCAGCTTTAGGATGACTAAGGGCAGACCTGACAAGCTCCATCCTTCAGAACAAAACCTGAGCAGGGACCACATTACCATTCCCCTGGCGGCTCTCTCCTACAATCATCCACATAGTTCGACTATCACATGTCACAGTAAGCTCAACTATTTACCTAGGGGAAGACAACCCTCACATTTCCATAAGAGTTCCTCTTCCAAATTCACTTTTATATGCAATCTTGGGCCATAACCTTCTCACCAACCAAGGCTCTGTGATTATACTGCTTCAACTCTCTGGAACTTCTTTTTGGTGAGTCTTAACTGCAAACTAAAGTCCAAACTACTTTTTTCACATGGATGTCTACATTCTCATTGTTCATCTTTTTATGTGTGTGTGTGTGGCACACATCACACTTGATTATGCTGACTTAGATAATGCAAGGAAACAGAAATTTTAAGTTTTAAATCTAAGAACTAGATTCCAAATTACCAGATTCAAGGACTCCTGTCTGATTCTATGTTGTATGTGCTTTGTAAATATCTAACTGTCAGATCTAGTAACATAGAATCAGACAAGAGTCCTTGAATCTGGTAACTTGGAATCTAGTTCTTTGACGTAACTTAAAATTTGTTTCTTTGCAATATCTAAAAGTCAGCATAATCAAGTGTGATGTGTGCCACAATAAAACAACAATAACCACCAACTTTCAAAGAATACAAGATCACTTTTTTTTGGATCACTTTTTTTAAAAAGACAACCAACAACAACAAACAGATCACTTGAGAGATCTGGTTGCATAGGTGACTTTTCAAAGTTCCCCAGAATAATCACTTCTAACAGACCTACCTGGAGGTATTCTAGGTCTTCTAACTTAACTGTGCTGTCTAAAGATGACAATTACAAAGGGAACAATCTCACAGCTTCTCTGTTGTGATGTTTACAATGAGTACTAATGTACAGAAGAGACAAAAATAACATCTAGGATGCCCCACTCAGCTCTTACCTGGAACTGCTGCTAGAAAGCAGCAGGCAACTAACTCCCCTCAACACTCTGGCCCTAGAGCAGTTACTTATTTCTTGGTAACAGAAAATATCTACAGCCCCACTATACAGGCTCACGTGTAGGGAAAGGCTGCTTCTATCTGTCTACCTCCTTGTTCCATCCAGATCTCCTTCACTCATTAATAACACTATCAATACAAGGTCAACACCAATGTAAAAAACACTCTAGAGTTACCAGAGGTTGCCAGGTAAATTCTGTATCAGATATTGAGGGAGCAGGTTGCTCTCCAGACAAGTCTCACTTACTGAACATGTAACCTGGAGCTGCTGCTGCTGCTGCTGCTGCGGTGGTGGTGTCTGTTCCTGGGGAGCTTGCTGCTGTGGTTGCTGCTGGGGGTCCCATATATGCACAGTCTGAGCTGTATTCTGGTACGTGCCTGCCACAGCCTGCACAGCCACTGGAATGTGGATGTTGCCATTCATGAACTGTGCTGGAAAGAGTGAGTTTGCAAGGGTCTGCACAACCTCTTCATGGGAGTTTTTCACTACTGATGTGGTGCCCACCATCTTCTCCTTGTCATCCTCCAGCTTTACAGCTGCCAGGGCTGTAGGTGAGCCACTGACATGAACTGCATTGTAGGCTTCCTGGGGAATGGCAATATGGGTAATGCTCTGTTGCTGAGGGTCCCCCCGTGGCTGGGCAGAATAAACAGGGATGGTCCAGGTTTCTCCTGTAGGGCTAGTAATGGTCCCAGTGGCACTGTACAAATGGGCACTGTCTACTGTCAGTAAGTCTGGCCTTAAAGACACGTAACTCTGCTGCTGGCCTTGTGGAATGGCCAACACGGTAGCCACTGGCTGCCCTGAGATGGCATAGGACACAGTGATAGGCATGTCCACTTTGCGCTTCTTCACTGGCTGGAGGACACTGGCTGTCCCAACCCGCCGTTCCCCTTCCCGAGGGGAGCCTTGCTGAGACGATGGTGGGGAAAGGGCACCCACTGTCTGGATTTGGATCTGTTGACCCCCAGCAAGAGACTGTCCAGCCACCAGCTGAGCTTGGATTTGCTGATGTGGGATATGCTCTTCTGGGATCTCTGCAGCCTGGATCTGCTGGGCTGCTTGAACGTGCTGCACCTGGATCTGGGCAGCTTGCAGCTGGGAGGGGCTAGGGCTCTGCAGAGACGGAGTCTGGATGGAAGGAGTTGCTGGCTGTGGTGCCTGGCCCTGGATTTGCACCTGGACCTGGATGGGCTGCTCAGCAGGCTGGTGAACGGTGAGCTGCGGAGAGAGCTGCTGAGCAGAGAACTGTTGTGGAGATTGCTGTACCTGCACCTGTACCTGCAGCAACAAGATTCACCAGTGAGTCAGGCAGCACTACAAACCCAGTTCCCAAAAGTGCAAATCAAGTTCCCCCAAAATATGTCTAGAAGAGACCACTGGTACATAAGGAGAAATGGCAGTCATATCCAAGGTTTATAAAGTAGCCACAATCCCTAAAACCAAAGGCTGAATTCTCTAGTATTACAATGTATTCAGAGTGACCTACATCCACATCAAAGAGTAAGAAAATCAATTCACCAGGATACAAAAGGAAATTATAAAAAAAAAAAAGGAAAGGAAATTATCAGAACTTTTGCTCATTTAAAAACTTTTTAAAATGACCCCTTTTAAAAAAATCAAAACCCCACAATACCATTTGAAAAATAAAATGCCCCAGCTGTCTTTTATATATTAGTATAGCAATACAAGCAAATAATCTTCAAATATATGTATTTAAGTAAATGTTAAAAAACATTTTATCCCTGAGGTGACATAAAAAAAGGTGATGGTCTTTAAGGTCATCAACACACTATATTTCACAGGCATTCATTCAGTGTCCAAACATTCAACCTGGGATCAAAACTGTTAGCACCAATAACTAGTGGAAACAATGTAAAGACAAATTGTGGATCTATCTATATTTTGGTCCAATGACGCTACCAAAATGAGGGCACTGTCAAATGATTCTTTAGGGTGCTTAATTACAATAACTATGTTTGGATAATGGAGCTCTGGTGCACAGCCAAACAGGGAAGAATCATAACTCAAATGCCATGCCTCTCTGGTGGTTTGAATCCACCAGGGGCTCCTCAGGCGAAAGAGGGATGGATCTCCTCCAGCGCATTTTCCAGCTTTGAAAACCCACTGAAGGGTAAGCTATGAGTTGGTTCCAACTTTGGGCAGGAATGAGATTTGCTGCCCCTTCCCCAGAATGTGGTAATATAATCGGATAAAAGTTTCCACACCCTGAATCATATATTTCTGATAATAAAGCGCTATTTTCTTACTGTTAAAACAGCATACAAAGATGCTGGAAAAGAAACCATGCAAAATATGTGATATATATAATACAGACACATACATTAAATAAAGCTTTTTCTAACAGATACACATATCTAGATTACACTAGCCAAAGGGAGGAATTAGGAAGGTAGAAAGCAAGAAGGCAAATGAAGGACTACTTTACTCTTACATAAGTAATGTGTGTTATACAATTTTTGTGACCTGCAGTTTCCCTTAACATTACTTTCCCGTGTATATTATGTGCATTGTATTCATATGCACATTTGTTGAAATATACAAAAATTCTGTGTACTTATTTAATAACAGAAAAGAACATGTCACAAAACATAATTAAAGTTAGTATTATAACAACTGGATATCCCGTTTCACATCATATACAAAGCTTAACTTAAAATCTACTATATACCTAAATAAAAGAGTTAAATTATCTGAGAAGAAAATATAGGAATAAACCTTCATGAGCTTGAGTTAGGCAATGGTTTAGAAGTGATAACAAAACTATAAGTGGTTAGTTAGAAAACATACTTTTATGAACTTTGATGCCATCAAGAAAGTAAAGACAAACTACTGAATAAAACGAGAACTATAAATCAAAACTCAAGAGATATCACCTCACACTGACTCACTTAGTGACTAGGATGACTGTCACTAAAAAAAAAGTCACAAACAGGTAGCAAGTCCTGGCAGAGATATGAGGAAACCAGAATCTTCATGTGCTGTAGATATTGCTGGGGATGTATAATGTAGCTACTTTGGTAAACAGTGTGGCAACTAGTTCCCCAAAAGATTAAATGGTCAAAACAACTATAGCTCATTCCAGTAACAATAGTAAAATTCAACAGTGCAGCTAACAACAAATGCTGGCGAGGCTGCAGAGAAACTGGAACCCTTATTCACTGTTGGTGTGAGTGTAAAATGGTGCAACCACTATGGAAGGCAGTACTGCGCTTTCTCAAAAAGTTGTAAATAGAAATACCATTTGACCTAGAATCTACTACTGGGAATATACCCTAAAGAAACCCGAACTGCCACCCAAACAGATATATGCACACTCATGTTTATTGCTGCTTTGTTCACAACAGCAGAGTTAGAAACAACCCAAGTGTCCATCAATAAATGAATGTCTAAAGCAGCTGTGGTTTATTCATGCAATGGAATATTATGCTGCACTGAAAAAAAAAACCCTCATGAAATAGAAAAAATGGGTGACCCTGGAGGACATTATGCTGAGTGAAATATCACAGTCACAAAAGGACAAATACTGCAAAATGTCACTGTTATAAAACAGGACTGACACAGGGGTTGTGGGGGAGCTAAGAAAAAGAAGGGATAAATAATGTACATGACACAAACAGATGAGAGAACTGTATAAAGGAATATGTGATTAGGTATTACTGGCATGACAACAGTCCAGAATTAGAGATGCTAGTAAAGTGGCTGGGGGGGTGGACTTGGGGGACGACTGTGTAACAATGGAAAAAAAATTTTTTTTTCCCAAGAGAAAAGCAAATGGGGGTGGGGATGGGAGGAAAATGTGCAACAATGAATGAATGGAAATCCAAGTTCTTTATAAACGTTCATTAAAATCTCAACGGGGGCGGGGGGGGGGAAGAGGATTAAATGGTTACTCTATGACCCAGCAAAAGAAGGAGTGACATCTACTTCAACAACATGCCTCTGGAAACTCGATGAACTTTGATAAATGTCGATAGTTACAGAATGGCTTCAGGCTTTTTGTTCATAGGGTCACTATGAGTAGTACTCGACAGCAATCAACAACAATGTTCCAGGACTCATATCCTAACTCAAGAAAAATAAAAATATTTTGGCACAAAAACTTGTAGACAAATATTCATATCAATTATTCAAAGCCAAAGAGTAGAACAGTTCAAATGTCTACTAGATAGTGAATGCATCTATAAAATGTGGTATACCCTTACAACACAGTATTTATGTGGCGATAAAAACAAAGAGTGGTTACTTGTGGGCATGGGGTCTCTTCTGGAGGGTCCAAAGTTTCTAAAATTGAAGTTAACTTGGAGAAGAATACTGAATATACCAGGACTACTAGGAGAACAAACAAGTTTTTCCTAGAGAGGATAAAACCAGGCTGCTCCTTGAAAGTAAGAATTCTGACTTATTCTGGACATGTTGCGAGGAGGAACTAGTCTTTGGAGAGAAACATTATTCTTGGGAGGGTAGAGGGAAAGACCCTAGATGAGACTGACTCAGTAAGTGGGGTAATGGGGATAGCGGAGTTGGAGATGGTGAGATTGACACAGGATAGAGCAGGGTCCAGAGTTGCTATGAGTCCCAAGTCACTTGATGGCCCTTAATAAGAACATCACATTACAACTCTGTGACTATACTAAATGATAGTGCATTGTACACTTATAAAAAATAGATTGTATGGTATGTCAATTTTATCTCAAAATAGTAATTTATTTTTTAAAAAGGTAACTAATGAAGCTTTATAAATAGCATAGGTTGAGATCACAGACTAGCTCTGACTTGATGCTATCTATACCTTTCAGGATAGTAAACCATGAATAAATCATTAAACAGCCTTTTCATGTTAACATAAACAATGTATATTTATGAAAAAGGTAATAGTTCTAAAAAGTATGACTTGCAGTTTTGCTTATCTCTTTAACAGATGATTTAACAAAAGGCAGTTAGATTGTTCTATCTGATTCTGTATTCAATTTGTTATCATTTATCACAACCATGGAGTTTTGAAAAGTTTTGATCATGAGGACCCTTTTAAGGGTCTTGAGGATCTAAGGGGTTCTCAAACTACCCTTTAAGAACCACTATTACAGACATAAATGTATCTATAACTTTAACAAGTAGTCCTTGACTTATGACATATTAGAGTTACAATAAACCATACGATGTCATTAAGTGAAAGTCAGCATCATATGAAACTGGAGACCAATCTCATTAAAAGATGTCCTATGTAATTACGTAACTGCCAAATTACATCACTGCATTAACATCTAAACCTGAGAACTGACTGAGTTAAGTTCACACAAAACTTAAGCCAACAGAGTCAATGTTTCTTTCACTTGGTACTTCATTTTTTATTTTTTTTTTGTACTTCATTTTTGTTACTGTTAAGACAATACATTCTCAATGTGTAAATTGCATAGTAGATTCTTTTATTGTTGTTAATATAAACATGAAGTATCAAAGGAGAATAAGTGAGAAGTTGGTGCATAGTAAAGAAGAAATATTATCCATATTTAAAGCACTATAAAACAAAAATCAAAGTTAATATGCAAAATCTACCTCTTCAAATTCTTATTTATAACATAGCTTATCCTCCAGTTAAATACTTACAAATCATAGTAAGAATATGAAGTCAGCTAAAGTAAAAAAATCTTAGCAAGTTCATCACTCTAGAAAATAACTTTTTTCAACAATGAATGAATTTCTAACTTTTCTGTAAATTTTGTTAAAAATCACAATTAAAAACAGCCGAAGAATAAAGTAACGTCTACACATTACATTTTATTTTAATTTAAAAGGAAATAAAAGCAAAATAAACTAAAGGAACTAAATCTCATTAATGAATGAGACAATTCCTAAAAGATTCCTCTAAAATAATTTTTTAAGAAAAAAGTTTTAACAACAATCTAAAACAAATGCATTGCAAGTAGACTAGCGAAGGGCAAGGAAAGGGGAGGGAAGAAAATGTACAATGAATGAAAATTACAAATCTTCAAAAGGGAATTTTACAAATTTTTGTTTAATACGAGGATTCTCACAACTTAGTATGACTAAAAATATTTGTGATGGCTGTAAAATGAAAGACTGCAGATACTTGCTCTTTGCTTTGGAGAGTTGGGCAGTACAGAACATAGAGGTCTTCTCAAACTGAATTTGATTCTGACATAACCTAAGGCTTCCCTTCTGTCTGTGTCAAGCTGAAAAGAAGTTGAACATAACAGATCTAATCTTGGCTCATTATCAAACGTATGGAATTTATTTCAAAATGGAAACATCAGTGTATTTTCCCACTGTGATTGAGTTATTTGAAGTGTTTGTGTGTGATGTTCCTGTTAACTCAAACTATGAAGGCAAGCAAAGTGTACTAAATAAAACTATGTGAAAGGAATTAGACATTCTAGGCATGACAACATTCTGGAACTGGGGGAGGGGGAGAGAGGAAAAATGTAGAACAGTGAATGAATGAAAACCCAATCTTTCTGTAAACGTTCACTAAAATCACAATTTTAAAAAATACATTTTAAAAAGGAAAGTATATTAAATAAGTTGTAACTCAACATTTCTCTTTTACCTGAACCTGCTGGGGTTGCTGAACCTGGATCTGTTGTTCTGGCTGAGTTTGTGGCTGAACACTGGTGGTGACTGGACAGGCTAGTTCAAGCAAAGACCCAGCCACTTCAGTGCTGTCTGTATAAGTGCAGTTCGCACCCTGTTGGTACACCATGGTAGTGGTAGTTGTCTGCTGGAACTCCTGAAGAGCTTCTGGTCCCTTGGAGGCCAGAGAGTCCAGAAATTCCTTCATCCTGTGCTGTGGGACAGATCTTGCCTTTACTCGGATGTACTCTTCAAAGGAGATGGTGTTCTCCAAAGAATTATTCATATTGCAGAGTCCTTAGGTTTCCTAAAAACAAAAAAGAGTATGCAGAGGTCAAAATTATGCTATTGGTTCTGTATTTTGAAATGCACAGAAGCAAACAACCTCACATCAGAGTGAAATATTCAAGAGTAGCTGTGCAAATCTGAAATCCAAAGTAAAACTTCATTGGTTTTGTTGTTATGTGCTGTCAAGTCACCTGTGACCCATAGCGACCCTATATACAGCAGCTCTGAAGCCAGCCTACCCTGTCCTGAGCCAGTCTCACTCATTCTGACCTAACTCCAATTCCCCCAGCAGTTGCTGTATCCATCAATCTCATCTGGGGTCTTCTTTTACTGTGTAGTACCTCCACCCTTCCAAGCATGACGTCCATCTCCAAGGAGAGGTTCCTCTTGGCCACATGCCCAAAGTATGTGAGATGGAATTTCAAAAGCCTACCCTCCAAGGAGAAACTTGGTTTCACCCTCTCCAAGAAAGACCTATTTGTTTTCTATGGTCAAGACTCTTCTCCAGCACCACAACCCAAAGGCATCAATTCTTCTGTCATCTTTAGCCACTTGTCCAGTTTTCTGATGCATAACAAGGAATGGTGAAGACCATGACCTGGATTAGGCGCACCTTAGTCTCTAGACTGACTCAATTGCTTTTCAGTACTCTGGAGAGATCCTGGACAGATTTTCCCAATGCAATTAGTTTTCTGATTTCCTGGCTGCTGGTGTTAAGAGTGCTGACTGTGAAGCCAAGCAAGCTGCAACTGTTAACAGCTTATTTTTAACATCAGTTGTTAACCTCACTCTCTTCTCCATCTATCTTGGTGTTGTCAATTGGTGCAGTGGTGAGTATCCTTGTCGAGATGTTGAGCTTCAATCCATATTGAAGACTATAGTCCTTGACCTTCTGCAACAAATGCTTAAGAACCTCCTCAGTTTCAGCAAGGTTGTTATCTGTGTAACATAGGTTGTTGATGAGTCTTCCTCCAATCCTGATGTCCATTCCTCCTCATAAAGTCCAGCTTCCATATATTGAAAAGAGCATATAAACTGAAAACGTATGGAGACATGCATCCCTGACACTCCTTTCCTAATTTTGAATCATGCAGTGTTTCCTTGTTCTGTTTGGAGGACTGCTTCCTGGTCTGAGTATAGGTTTCATGTTAGCACAATCAAGTGTTCTGGGATTCCCATTTTCCTCAAGGTTAGGCACAATTTGTTATGATCCACACAGTCAAATGACTTTTATACAGTCTATGAAAAATACATAGACAAAGATATTCTTCTGGTACTCTTTGTTTTCTGCCAAGATCCAACTGACACTGGCAATAGAGTCACTAGTGTCATGACCTCTTCTAAACTCAGCTTGTTCTTCTGGTAGTTCTCTGCCAACATACTGTTCCAGTCATTTGTGGATAATCTTCAGCAAGATTTTGCTAGCATGTGGTGTTAGTAATACTGTTCAATAATTTTCACTCTGTTGAGAACGACCACTTGGCCAACTGACTGGAAGAGAGCGATATTTGTTCCTTTCCCAAAGAAAGATGACCCAACAGAATGTGGAAACTACAGAACAATCTCACTGATTTCACATGCAAGCAAGATTTTACTGAAGATTATCCAAAAACGACTGGAAC